ACAATTGACATATTATCATCCTTGAACTAGTTGAATGAAAATGATAAAATTTGTTAATGCTGATGACCCAAATACACGTGCCAGCCTACCTGTCCATTACTTTCTTCGCTACTCAAATCTTTCTGCTCATAGTCACAAACATCACTCGGCTTTTCAGTAGAACAAAAAAGGCTAGAATGTTCAATCAACGTCTTCCTCTAAAAAAATAAATCATTTCATTGGCCTGAATTTATTTGGTAGTTTCTACTAACTACCTCTAAAACAGCTTGTACGTTCCATCGATTTTTAATCCATGCGTCGTAGATACATTTACGATTTGCATTATTATCACCAATACCAATACTCGTGTATAATCTTCCCCATATTGTTTTTTGTTTGATACCATTTTTTATGATATCTTTGGTATAGGCTGTAGTCTCATTCAGAAGTTTAATTTCTGTATCTGTGAGACTTTTCAGGGCAGACACAAGTTTTTCATGGTCAATTTTTGATTTAGGTGGCATTGAAATACAGTTGCAATGAAACCCTAATAAAATCAGTTATAGCAAAGCACACACAAGGATGATGGCAGTAAAATAATACGTGTGAATTTATCTATTTCAAACTTACTGGTTGTATTTAAGACTAATGTAGAACAATACTAACTGAAATGTTAGGTTTTTGTGTATAGAGAGGGAGGGTTCCTTCAAAAATGCCAATACTAGACATCGTAGTTGAATGACCTAAGCACCATTATATTAGAAAATCGCTAAGAAAGCTGATTTAGCCAGTAGCTCATGCGATTTCTTTCAATAAAAAGAGGAACGGGACAACTTTCTGTATCCTTGGGTTTCGCACGAACGAAAAACCAAAATACTTGTTGACGAAATTGTAAGGAACCTTTGATTTCTAAACCTCAGAGTTTAGCGAGCCTCCAAACTCTACAAGATTGAATGAAAAACCACATGGGTTTAGTAAAACACTTTATTGGGTTCTTCGAGACAAAACAAAACTTCAAAGATTTTTTACCTGCTTCATAAAACATTCCAGTCTTCAGAAAAAACCGTAATTGTTTTGTTAAGGCGTAGTTTAAAAAACCCTAATGTTCAATAACACAAATAAAATCGTTACAAAACCTTTTAGGGCTTTAAGAAGGACTCCAATACTCTTACGCCTTTAGTAGCATCGTAAACCCATTAGTAAACCCTCTGTGCTTTTTACAGTGTACTTTTGTTTAGTGTATCGCATACTTTTTATTATATTAAAATTAGTACAGAGCTTTCGATAAATTTTCACGGTCAGCACGCTTACTTCGTAGAAGAAATAGTTCTGATGTTTGAACAAAACGTTTTGAACGCTTAAATAGTAGTGAAAGGTAAATCACCAATTCCGGTGGGAAAAAGTGTTAACAATTCTTTTAATCATCAGTGAGTAAGACAAACAAAGACAAACCTCTTCTTTTTAATTCTCGCGCTTCTTGACACATGGCACATACTGGACAACACCATGTGACAAGAAAATCATTGGGTTGCTCAATAATGCCATATTTTTCTCTTAATAGTGCACGTTTACCCATATGTATGAGACAACCCAAACCGAAATACTGTAGTACAGTATAAAAACAACATTGACCAAAACACGAGGAACCATCGATTTTTTCAGCATTTTCACCAAATAAACAGCTTGGACAACACCAGCCATACAAACATATCGGTAAATCATCAAAGCAGCCACATAATGATTCTATGAATCAATAAGTAATGGGAACATTAGAAAGTCTAATATATAGTTCACTCACATTTGCCTCTAGATTAGAGATGCACCGGTTACGATTATAACCGAACAACCGATAGTGGTTATAACCGGTTATCGGTTGTAACTGATAGTTATAATCCGTGTTCTCAGAAAAGACAAATAATTTTATGACAAATAATTCTAAAATTTCAGCCTTCGTTTTTTTCAGTGGAGATAGCAATTCTTGCTTTCTACACCGTAATAAATAAATTTATTTCAAGAAATAGTTTAATTTGCTTGAAATATAGAAGAAGTATAAAAAACGAAGGCTGAAACTTTAGAATTATTTGTCATAAAACTTTGCTCGAAAGAAAAAGAACTGTCCTTGAGTGGCAACGTCAGAAATGACTGTGAAGCAAAACTCGCGAAAATAGTGCAAAAGAACTTGGGCGCCTTGGAGACGTGCTCATTAAAAATCCATTTTCTCAGTGAAGAAAAAGAATTTCGAAAAACTTTATTTGTTTGAACCCTGGCCTCTGGCGAATCCAACCATGGAAAAGTTTTAACAGCCGTTTGGAGTCCTTTTGACGCTCCTTTGGGAAAGCTTGAATTATGGCCGCAAAGTTTGATGCCCGCTTTCAACACGTACCGATTTTAGACATCGGGGAAAATCCATTTTCGGTCCTAGAATTCTGAAAGCTGCTTTTCGAGATTCAGTTTTCAGCGCTGAATCTGAAACATTTAACCTCAAAACTCGAAAACGAAATCCGGAAAACCTAGGATCACGTTTTGAAAACGTAGATTTTTTAAGGTTTTTGACAGGCGTGAAGTATTTTGAGGATATCTCAGCGAGGAAACTGTTTTGGAAGATGGGAACGTAATATTCGTGATCCTCATTCGATTCTCTATCGAATGATGTACAGAGGAGCGAAATCTAAATTCCGCTCGTACTCCGCTTTCCGTGCATCTTACATTGTTCAATCTGAGATCCAGTAAACAATCCTGAGGCTCAAATCTTGGAAAGCAATCAAATTTGTATTTTAAATTTGTTCGAGCTTCTAATCTCCAGCACAAGTGTTTACGTATTTTGAAACCATTCAAAGCTCTTTAGCGCCTATCTGACAAGAAAATTTTGGAAAGTGACAATCCCTATTCAGGCCTACTCAGTTTCTGAGAAACTGAGTAGGCCTGAGTAGGGATGGGACTGAGTCCCATCTAAAAACTCTGGTTGAGCATTTTATCAACTATTCAGATTAACGAGCAAAGACTGTTGCTCGAAAGAAAAAGAACTGTCCTTGAGTGGCAACGTACCAAGCCATTCTTGATTGTGCATCAATGTCATTGTGAGTTGTTTTGTATAAAGTTAAAATATCACGAAAACGAATATGATCTGCGTGTTGAATGTTATGAAGAATATTTATGTGAGGCAAGGCGAAGTATGGTTTTTACTGAAAGGATTAATGCAGTATCGTATTCATTGACAAATAAATATTATTGTTTGTGGCTGGATATATTATAGTCAATAATATTTATACACGTAGATATAAAACCTGAAAAAATATTCCACTTTTCGATTCAAGTTTCAATAGAAACAGCATAAGTTTATTCAATGATTTCTATGTGTTAGAATGTAAATTAATCCTTTTCTTTATCTTAATCGTTTCACCCAGCGCTTATTAACACTTTTATTCACTATGTTAGTGACAGGTTCTTGCAGTAAGAAGATCATGGATCGCAGATGAATGTTGCATCACTTGTAGTCTGGGTAAGGTGTGGTGCGCACTTATGGCGCATTAAGGCAACCTTATCGTTTATCAGTAAGATGGAATTTCCATTTAAAAGACGCGTCACTATGCCTTACGAAGGAATCCAGTTCCATGCACCCATAGTGTCTGTTTAGTCAAGTGGATTGTAGATGCTTAGTCAAGGCATTTTGGATGCATTCGCCCAAGTAAATTATTTGCAGTTTTGATACATAAAGTAGGATATCCCGCTGTTCTTAAAGCATCTAGAATGCATTAGATACACTGCGATGCCATCCCAAGAAAAGCGGGCTACTACGAAAAACGTGCAAAAACGACACAAATAAGTCTATCTATAGGATAGAAGCTGTTAGTCTCTCTTCCTGGATATAGATGGGTTAGGAAAAAAGGACTCAATTGCTTGTTAGTTATGGGATTTTTAACTTCCAATATATCTGAGTGTATAGTGAATAACTACTTTAATGTTGGTATGTTGAGATCTTTCGCCTTCTGATGATAAAAAATATATGAAATGTTCGGCCTGACAGTGCTCTCATACAGAGAGGGTCATAATATTGTTCGATACACAATGTTTAAATCAATATATCTAAACAAGATTTTACTGCATCTAGCTAGATTTAGTATTTTCTAATATAATTTCAACTCAAAAAAGGGTTTTAGTGTTTGTATCTCATTAATTTGAAAGATGCTGGATACGATAGAAAAATTCATATTTGTGTGATTACTTATTTTCCACTGTCGAGTTGTATCAAAAAGGTTAGATTATCTTCCATTAATAAATATAGTTTTGCAATGAGACAAAGTTGAAATGAGATTAGGAAATACTAAATCTAGCTAAATGCAGCCAAATCTTGTTTAGATCTATTGATTTACACATTGTGTATCGAACAGTATTATGACCTTTTCTGTATGAGAGCATTGTCAGATCGAACATTTTATATATTTTTTATCATCAGAAGGGAAAAGGTCTCAACACACTATACAAAATTTTTCTTCTACCTTTTCCTAATGTTTCATGTGTAAAGTACAATAATGTCGTCAACAGAATCGAATATAGAAAACTTTTGCCACAATACTTTGGAATAGGCAGTTTCGCTGACGCAGACTTGCAGTTGTCGAAATAGATTTCTAACGGAGAGGGACTTTAGAGCCGCGATGAAGGTTGCGGTACGATCATCTCATATTTTGTTTATAGTCTGCTTATGCTGGTGAGTACAAAAAACTAGTTACATAGATAAAATTTCAGCTTTATTAGACTTTTCATACCCAAGATATACACATTTTTCTAGGCATGCATCAATTCTTTTTTGAAGATTATTGAAAAAAAATTAACAGTTCTAAGACTATTTGTTTTATATGTTTTTTGCATACATCAGATTGTTCGGTAGATTTTTCTCTATAAGATGAGGTATAATGAAGTTTGTATTTGCATTTGAGAAGGTAAAAGAAGAAAAATATTAACCAATTCCAATTTCAATTCTACTTTTTAATAAACAGTGTATAATGTTTAATCTAATGCTACCACAAAATTTCCAAATAGCCTGTTTTGTAGAGAAAAGTACAATGTAGAGACGGTACAATCCTACATTGTGGATAAAACTTGGTGATGATTATTTTAAAATGATTATTTTCGAAGATGAACCAAAAAAACAATTCTAGAACTGATAGTTGAATGGACATCAATATTTTGAGAGAAGTAACTATCTTGATGAAGTAAAATTTCTTATTATATTATAAAAGATCTAGTTTAATAAATTACAAAAAAAACAGACTATAATAGACACTATGGCTGATCCGAAAAATATACAAAGTTTGATCGTTGTACTCGATTACTTTGTGTAGTATATCCATCTGAACTGGTGAAGTGAGGTGTCGTATATGTTCCCCTTTCTGAATGATGCTGCATGCTCATATTTGTCATGTAGCAGGTGAACTGTTGTTCATCATGCTCGAATTTTTCAATACTCTTATTCAGATCTTCCACTAGACTTTTACACAGATTATCTTGTGACGATATTGACGCTGTTATCTTTTTAATGATCGCTTGTAAAACGGCTTTAGCTTGATTCATGTCACGCTGTTGTGCAAACACAACAGCTACTTTCATTCCTTTTGCCGCATCCACACGATTTCGTTGAACATCCAAATCATAGTTAACTTCAAGAAGTTTCAAATCGGTAATTGCCTTTGAGCGAACAAGTGTGATCGCTGTTGATTCAGATGAAAACATTTGTTGACTCGATGGATCAATGTATTTTACTGATGCCGTACTTATTTGACAACATTCTTGCTCATCTTTGCCGTCAACTGCTGGAACATGAATCTCAAATACGAGATTTCGTTTTTCGTCTTCGTTCAAGTCGTGTATTTTTATGGTAACAGTCGAATTTGGTACAGTTGAATGAGCAAATGTTGAGTGAACGTTAGCAATAGTATAATCGTCTTTTAGTTCAATTTTCACTTCAATATTCTGCGCAATACACGAGAAAAGACTACCAAGTGTATGCGAAAATGAATCACCGACCGATTTCAATTCATCAATATATGTAAATGTACCTGATCCAATTTCGGCTATTTGTGAGAGAACACTAACTTTATGGTCACTGCCAAAACCGTAAGTGTGACACGTTGTTGATTCTGGAATATTTTGCATGATATCTGAATACGATGTCAATTCAACATCTTGCCCATCAGTTAGTAGTAGTATAGATGATAATGAATTTTTTGTATTTCGTTTGTTGAGTATGTCAATGCCCATTTTGAGACCACGACCAATTGATGTACTTCCATTCGCATTTAATTTTTCGTGTGTTTGAATTCGATTTTCTATCGCCTGTTTACCATGTTCATTCATCATCGTTAAACCACTGATAGGATAGGAAGAATCATTAAATGAAACTATGGCAAAACGATCAGTCGATCCTAGTTGAGTGACAATATAACTCAATGTTTGTTTCACAAGTTGAATTTTATATCCACGCATTGAACCACTGTGATCAACGATGCACACCAAGTCTAGTGGTACACGTGAGTCAATGTTTTCGTTATCGGATGATGTCGGAGCGAATAATGTCAGGAGGCCATAAATGTCTTTTTCTTCGTCTGAAACGACACCACCAACTTCTAGCGCTGTTTTTGTTTCGATTGGCTTGGGAGATGAAGAAAGTCGAGAGGCTTGTATCTCAGACACCGTACGAATTTGGGCTTCGTTAACAACATCCTCGGCCGGTATCTCAACTTCCTAAAAGAATGAGATTTTCACAAGAAAAATGCCGTTCAGAGACCATCTTTTTCAACCGTTGTAACTTCATAAAATGCCTTATGATTTTTTCTCGCCTATACATCAGCAAGTATTAACGGATATGAACCCTTTCCTGCTGTTTTTTTCTGAAAAAGCCAAATCCAGGTTTGAAAAGTAGATCAAATAGCTTTTACGTTTACTTTACACACTGTTCACTTAAACATTGACTAAAGCCGTCGAAAATAAAGTGTAAACTAAGATAATCAAAAAATGCCGTCTTGCAAACCAAATTTCGGATGTGTTTGAAGATGTACTTCTGATGGACTTTATTATGATTTCTTCCAGCGACAAAATAGCAAAAAGCGTTGGTGACACTTTCACTTCAACGATCGATGCTTTCGTTCCGTGTAATGAGAACTGTGTAAAAATTGTATATGTTCCTTTTAAAATTTTTCTTATGTGGTCTGAAAGGACGATGTCTGTGTTTTATTTTTCTGTCTGAATTTATGGCACCCATAACCATTAGACATACAATGATATGCGATCACACGCTCATCTTTGAACAGCTGTGTTCAAGAAAGGAAAAATTTCCAAGTCATTCTGAATATGAAAATCTTTGCAGTTATATGTAAACAAGACCGTAAACCAAAACGGCGATGAAAGAATTATCTAAATCTCGGTGTAAGAACTCAAGAAATTTTCAGACGTTCGAGATCGAAAGTTTAAAAGAATCTTCGAACTTCTTAAAATTTTTTTACCAAGATCTTGAGTCTACATCTTATTGAAAAAATTCAAGAAGTCAAGATCTTGATTACAAGAATTTTCACTATGAAACCCGTTACAACATGCTATTAAAAAGTAGAGTGAGTCTATTGGCACTGCCACAGGGCTAATAGCCATTCCGTAAAAAGTAATAAAAGAACTAAAAGCTCCCTATCAACTTCTCAGGCGATTAAATCGTACTATCCGATCGTACAGGATCATATACAATTTTGAACGATTTACATACGACTCGTGGTATCTGACCACGAGTATAACTTTCTATTCTATTATTAAGTAATTATTATTATTACTTTTCTATCTATCTATTGTTTGGGAGAAAACTGTAACAAAAGTCCAAAATAAGTCAATGCATTACAGGCTTTTTACCCACATCTTACAGAAAGTGAAAATCGGCACAAGTTCTTTAAAGATTCTGCTTCTTGAAAGTTCTTGAACAAGATCTTGATACAGAATTTTCAAGGACATGAAGTTCAGATACATCAACAAATCTGATTAAGAACTTGATCAAGATTTATAACGATTTCAAGTCTAACGTATTTTCAGAATTCCGTATGAATATCTTAAAAAGATTTAGCAACTTTTCTGAACTCATTGATTTAATTACTAATTAGGAAAACTAGTTCCGTATTCGGATAAGGAAGACGAAAGAACGATAATTATAAAAATTTCACACGTATTAATATTTCTTGTGGTACCACATTATAGAGGATCTGACCTTGAATGCTTCTTTCTGTTCTATCCTTATCTCTCTCTCTCTCTCTCTCTGCTATTGGCCTACTAGATGGATAAACGAATAAATTATATTTATCGCTCTTTTCATCACCGTTTTTGTTTTGCAGTGCCCACACAAGGAACAGAATCTACACTGTAAAAAAATTGAGAAACCTTCATGTCCATATGGACATAACGTTTGACTGAAAAGCTTCGTTATTGTGTGATCGGTACCGTAAGAGATGTAAATTTTACAGTACTATTGGTACAGTACAATACTGCAGAACTTGCACTGTAGAATACAGTAGATAAAAAATAAAAATAAATGAAATAATACTTAACGAACACAAAAACCTATTCAAGGTGTTATACAGATATCGATAATTTATTAAGATTCTGTTAATTAATTAATAACTAATTAATTGCTTCGTCAGAATCAGTCACAGACCTTGATCAGGTTTTTTCAAAAGAGATTCCGATACAGAACTTGTGGAAAATCTGCAGCACTACGTTTCATTCATAATTTTGAAGAATTTGATAAATCTGCAGTAGTTTTTTAAAGATCTAGTGCGAAACTTGAACAGTCTTTAAAGATTTATCAAGATCCGTATTCACAAATTTCTCTTGGGTTAGCGGTAAACAATGAGAAGTGAAACGATGAGTCTTCTCTTCACAAGAAATTTTTGAACTTTTTCTCAGTTTTATGAGATTTGGGGAGGGGAGAAGAAAGATAACTCTTTTTTTTATCAAGCCTTCTACAGTAGTATAAATATGTTCTACGAACTACTTTTTACATTTTACACAGATAATGTTCAAATATTATTTATGAAATAACGGAAAAAACCATAAACGTAATTCAACTTACACTTCTCATGTCTTTTCTTCATGAGTAACATTATAGACGTCATAGATAAGAAATATTCATCATGTTGCAAATTTAAGAAAAAGCCCAAACTTTTTTGAAAAATTTTAGATTAGACTTCACAGTTCTAGAGTTGAGCACACAGTGAGCAAATTTGGTTTATATTGCGAACATGTGCTGTAACTTTTTAAAAAAAGTACTTAGGAGTTTAAAAGGAAACTTTTTCCTAGGTTTTCGTATATGCTCCTTCTAATGGTTTAAGTAAAAAAATTTTGAAGCACTTTCATCATGGTATTGAACAGGCTAACCTCTGGAAAACTTTACTGTTCGATGCGGATATTAGATTTTTTCATCAAAAATGTTACTTCATAATTAAAAATCATTGTCTATTGCGTATAGAATCATCTTAAAGCAAAATAGATTTATTTTAAAAAAATTGAAACTTTTAAATTGTGGATAATTTTTAATTGTAATTTCGTTGAATCTTATAGAAAAGCTTTTTTTTTCAATCAGTGTCAGCTTTTTGCATCCGTTTTGGCCAAGTGTTTTCAGATGATCCTTTATAGTTAGAATCAAAATTGTTTCAGTATTAGATACCCCATATATCAAAACATATTATCCGGTAGCTCAATCTGAAAAAGCCACACTTTCGAATTTTGGCTAAATGTCGCGATCGTTGCACAGGGGTAATATGCACCCCTACTCACATATATAAGTTAACTACACTCTGAAAAATGCCGTTATTTTATCCTAGAAAAGCCTTTAGGGCTTCTAGCTACTTACCACGATTACTGGTGGCGGCGGTAGTGCTGGTACTTGTAGTATCTGCGATGGAGAGGGTTGCTTCACAACATTAATTAATGAATCCATTGTTAATCGACATAACGGGCATTCATTGTTATTTGATTGAACTGATTTTGTTATGCAATCAAAGTGAAACTGGTGGTTGCATACCGATGTAAATAGAGCTTCGCCGTTCAACATTGGATTTAAACAAATTGAACACATCGGATCGCTTTGAGTAGATAACGACATTTTCCTTGCGCTTTTAGTTAATTTTACCAAGTGTTATTATGTAGGGAAAAGCTTTTTTTGTTTTTTGGATACGCCGAAGTATGTATACACTTAAATATAGCCTAGTTTCTAGATCTTGGTCGGTAAGCTTTTATCTATAGCAGCGACAGCGTTATTGCTAAAACCAAGAAGTGAAAAATATGAAAGAATTTTCTACCTATTCTATTAATTTCATCACTTTCTTTTGAAATGTTGAAAGTAGTTTTCGAATACATATCTATATTCTGTAGAAGGCTGTAGGCGTACATGCTGATTTTTTTCAGTATAATTTCACCATAGATATGTATTCTTACACTCATTAGTGTAAAAAAGTCAAACTATTCACCGTTAGTGAGGAAAAAAATGACTAATTCATTCGTCATACTGTAATATTATTCACTGGTGTTTTAGTCATTGGACTGACTAACACAACATATAGCTTTCTTAGCTTGCAGATAGAGGGGATTACTAGATTTGAGATATCGCAAAACGAGCTGAGATTTTCAGTACTTATATATTTTAACGAGACTTTTATTTTTCTTCTTTATTCTCTTAAAAAGAACCATTTTGAGACGCTTTCTCGAAAGACAATGCGTAAAATCTCTTTGGACGCCGTTATGACGACCAACCGTAAAAAGATGCCGCTCACAAAAGTTATGAAAACAGACCATTATTCGTGCACGTCTTCATAGTAAAACCAATGTACATAAAAATACTGTGAACCGCGACGTCATGATTTTGATTACAATAAATTTCTCCTATTATAAAACGCTTATTATAAGAATAACAGCTCTCCACACCCATTTTAAGAAAACAAGTAAAAATGGCTATTGACTAGCTAAGAAATCTCTTAAGGAAGCGATTTTATTGCACTCAGTCCACTTGTTATGATCTGCCATTCCTGGCAGCTCATAAGAGCTCATAAGACTATGTTCTCTTCTTCTTTTCCTTTCTTTCTGTTCATTTCGTTCGTGACTCATTCTGTTCTTGTACTATCCACGTAATCCTGTTCTTCCGCAACACTTGTTTCATCCTTTCTTTTCTGTTTTGCAGTTGTTTTCCAAACTCTTTCTGTTCTTGCGCAACTCCTGCGCAACTCTTGCACAACTGTTACTTCTTTCTTGTACTATATATAGCCGTTCACTTTATGCAAATAAATATGAGAAGTGAGTGAGTAGAACCTCACACCACTGACTATTTGTCTTTCTCTACTTGAGAAAGAGGGATGCGTACCACTCCAAAAATTTAAAAGAACAGTAACAAGGTAATTATTTAAAATAAATTTTACACTATCTCGGACAAAAAACTTTCGTTACACCCCCTCAATGTCCGGCACCTACTCAGGCCCCTGTCGACCTTTCGTTACACCCCCTCAATGTCCGGCACCTACTCAGGCCTCTGTCGACATCTAAAGATAAAGATACGCTAAAAGAGACAACTCGATTCATTTATAATTTTAATTACACAGTATTGTATAGGTAAGTGTCTAGCCTCCTAGACGGATAAATCTTAAAACAGGATACTTCTACAGAATATCCGCCGTCCATACGTACACTGTGGATATGGGTGGAACGTATAGCCATTGTACCATTTGCCGGTAAAAGGTCTTAAAAAATAATGCTTTCATTTGAACTTTTTCTGATGATCTCAACAAATTTCGGTAGCCTTAGTATAGCCCAAAAAATATTTTTCAGACAGTCACTTTCATTTTCTTAAGGAAAACGCGGTTTTGATAGAAAAATCGATGAAATCTCCGAGCATATTGAAATATACAAGATCTGAATAAGATCTAAAATACTGTTTTTTATACACCATTCAATAGATCTGGATGAGGCCAGTCTGATGAATTCCAAGCCAATTCATTAAAATACCTGTTTTGACATTTTTGGAAGTAAAAACCGTCATTCTGTATTATTATCCTCTTTTCTCTATATGAATACAAAAATGTTTTTATCAAGGCTTCTCACGAGCATAGTTAAATTAGCCTTCCAAAGACGGGGAATCGAATGATATATGATAACTGGAGATTCTTTCAGTTTTTCGTAGAGTTATCGCTATCGTAATATGACTGGACTTGGACACACACGTCCAGGCATTAACATTAATAATTAAACATAGTCTTTACATTTAATACACAGATGTGGTCCCAAAAACTAAGGCAAATGTCATTACCCATATTCCTGACTTTTCTGAAGATATTTTGTTACAAATGTTTGTGCCTTGATTTTGTACTTCGGTTATGGATCACATCGTCTTTTTTCCCGGCTTTGCTAAAAAAGTCGATGTATTTATATGGACGTGTTCTAACTTTTCAAAATTTGAAAATTCTTTAGCGACACCGAGAATTATTAGTGTCAGTGATTTGAGATAATTCTTGTACAGGACTAAAAAGTTCTGTAGTTTTTCAAAGCTTGTCTGATATTCGTTGACGGTGTCGTACGATCCAATTTCCAGATGTAGTTTCTCCATTCGGTACCTGTATGACATGCAAATTTTCATAATCGGCACAGCAAAAATCTTTAAACTTAAATTTAGCTCTTCAATATTTGGCATCGTCGTGAATAGTCTAGTCACGTTTGCAACGCAGAATAGAGTGACTGAGAACCGTTTCACAGAGAATAGAAGAAGTTCTGAAATATGCTCAAAGCCCAAACTCGAGAAACCGAATTCAAATAATAAAGTTAATGTGGTTAGATTGGAGGATGCAGAAGCCGCCGCTCTTGTTCTAAGCACAGAATCGAATGGTCCTGTCATCGAAACTTCATACAAGGACTGAACGAATAGAGTTTCGATGATCAATGTATCTAGTTCTTTAGAATCGTATTTACCCGAAGTTTCTAAGGTCAGATTTAGGGATTCGATGCGAGTTAGCCAGTGACGAATGTGAGGACCTAATCGATAAAGCTGTACTTCTGACAAAACGTGCTTCTTTTATATACAGAAAAGAAATGAAGAAAAAAGCGTTGTGTAATAACACACTGATGGCTCAAAATAAATATACGCTTTATCATCCTGTATATTTAGGTCTTGACTTGCACTAGAAGGAGGCGAAATGACACTCAAACGGACCACGAACGATCTTTTGAAGGTTACAACTCTAATTAGAGTAAGGGTAAGGACGCATTGACAATGTTTGAAATATTTCTCAGCAAATAAGTGCAAGTCAAGACCTAAATATACAGGGTGATAGAGCATTTCAAGGGCTATCAGAATGTATAATTACTTTTCTAAAAATGTATTACCGTATTTATAGTAAATTAAAAAACCTATGAAAAAAAAAGAAAAAGTGCAGTTCGTGAGAATCTGAGGGTGAGGTTGTCTTCACTATACTCAAAATATTTCTCAGTGAATAAGTGCAATTAAAAACACAAATATACAGGGTGTTAGAGAACTCCGAAGCCTATCAGAATATGAGATTACTTTTGCAAAAGTATATATTAATAAGAAAAATATTCCCAAAATACCGTGTCTAACTATTTTTGCCAGGCATAATTTGAACAGATAGATAGATATTACTGATCATATATATTTGTTCATGTTGATTTGGTATGCGAAAAAGACTCAATCAAGATCGTCCATCTATTCTTACAGATAGGCAAAATTCAGTATTCACATGAATTGTTCTTTAGATGATTCATAGGATATAATTAATTGTAGAGATAATTTTAAAAATATTTCGAATGAAGAAAGTAACTTATATAATAAGAACACAATAAAATTTGTTTCAATAATTAATTCTATAAAGATTTCATACAACCATAAGCGACAGTATATAGACAAACAATGATTGTGTTCTTCTCTTCTAAACCTAGAGGATGATTCATAAATATTGGACTCTCTAAGAAAAATGACTGTTTCGCACATATAACAAATCGAAAAATGCTCAAACTTATTGATATAAGTCATTCTTTGATTCTTTCATTCTGTAACAATCAACTTGATTGTTTGATTTAATAGATTCTTTTGAAAAAAAGAAAAAGATTATATGTTGAAATCTTAGCACAATTATTCAACGTAACATCAAATATGCAAGAACTGAATTGTCAATGTTAAAGATTTATATGATGAAGTTATTGTACACGTCGTATGACCCCATACCTCTATCCGTAGCAGTTAGCACATCGAAAAACGTTTTTGATTTCTGGGTGTGCCGCTACCGCGAAGACTAGAAAAAATGCATTGTGAAACTGGTGGCTATGGTACATATAACCATCTGCTGAGCTTTGAAATAACAAAAATGTTTTTAAATGTATTTAAAAGTCAACTTCAGTCATTAACTTCAATTGTCTTGAATGCAGAAAAAGAATTTTTTGACTCTTTTTTGACAACTTTCACATTAACATGCGACTTCACTCGGCTGCAGAGTTATGAATATTAGATTAACACAACTGTCTCTCCAACCGATCCATGTTCTCCCACTTTGCAAATGTTGTACAACAGCCAGGCAACACTTACTCTACCTACACTTTACCGCGAGCACAACTATTTAACACTTCCTCTGAGCGGCTACAAGCAATCGAACATTGCATTGACTATTATCTTGTTCCCCAACAATTAATAAATTCTCGAAGTCTGCCTGTTAACGTGAGCACAAATTGTCGAGCACCCGCAATGCCATTCGAGTTAAATGATCCGAAACTCAAACTTGTATACTTGAACACTATTACATTTCAGAATAGGACTGATGGCATCCAAGCTGACATAAATCGATATTTATCAAAAATCATAGCTCGCGCGGCTCCCCTGCTTTTAGAGAACAGAGTTTCACTGCTGTGATAAACGATAGAAAGAAATATGGTTTTTGCATACATTTTTTTTTTGACGAAAACACTCGGAGACGTCGTGCATTAAGGAGCTTACAAACTGCTGATGCTGAACATCAAATGAAACTACTCTCGAAATTGTTTTTGACAGAGTTATCACAAGGGGGCATTTCCCTCCTTCCAACAGTCAAACATTTCGATTTGTGCGTCGCTGAAAGAAGGATTGTTGTGGCAATACAGAGAGGATAGTTGCTTCGATCAAACAACCATCAGTAAAATTAGAGGTGGACGAAAATATTTATTAACCTATTATCTAGCACTGAAATTGAATGTCCAACGTTGCTACTGAATCATATTTGAAGGCAGATTTCACGTTCTAAAAAGATTTCATTTTTCCCAACCAAGCAGTAACCGTTGCTCCTAATTCACTTTCAAATAGGAGGTTCTTCAGTTAAAGCAGATACGAATTTTGAATAAATCTGAGAGATCAAATCCGCTTATGGGAGACAAACTGGTAGAGCATTGGACAGATACTAGAATCCTCATTTCAAGGAAATCACATGGTGCTTGACGGATTCTGACTGGAGTATTCCAAATCAGCTAGAAGATCAAAACAGAATCTCAAAGTGTCTTCCATTAAACAACAGATCATGCTCAATAGGGTCATTATCCCAGATCGAATGCAAGACAACTTTTTATCATAAAACGCGAAGTGTTCTCAAATGACGCGCTATGAAACCGTTTCAACTATAGAATGACCATTGAACTGATCAACATTTCACCATTTGTGGCGGCAACTCGATAGGTTTTGAAATACTTTAGAGTTCGCAGTGATTCATTTAATTTTCACAAAGAATTGCGGAAGCTTCATCGGCTCCGTCGGTTGGAGCAAAGGGATATTTGGTTTTCCCAGCAGGAACTTATCAGCCGACAGAGGGTCTCCAGACAACCTCTGAAAATCCCCTCAAAAGCCATTAATATAGTGGCAAATCATATATACTCTGAAAGTAAACACTTCAGGCTATCTTTGTATGTGCTTATTTCAAAATCCGAGAATCATCATGTCTGAGGGGGGACCCTTAAGGAAGATGCCAAAATTTTCTTCTTCTCACCTGGATTTCTTGATGTGGTAATACTTGCTTCTTTAGAAGAAAAGTCTTATTATTCGCATCGTCACTCTTGTCCTTTCAACCTCACAATTCTTATCAAAATCTTTTCTTTCTTTTGGAGAATAAAAGAATTGTTATCCTCCACTTTGTCATTTCTTTTTATTCGACAATGTTTTTGCCACTTCTGATCTCCGTTACTACTCTTCTCTCATGCTCCCACGCTAACCCACTGCAAGCTGCTCCTTCTGTCAGAAGCCTGCCTCTTGGCATGATTACTTTATTCGCTGGTGACGTTGTGCCTCAAGGCTGGCTTCTCTGCCATGGACAGGTCGTGTCACGTATGACATATTTGCGCCTCTTCTCCGTTATTGGCACTTTGTACGGGACGAGCGATCATGTTCAAACGTTTAACTTGCCGGATTTTCGAGGCCGCTTTCCCTTGGGTCTTGATCCGCAACAAGGTCAGCGCCACACAGGTGGAGAGACACATGTAATGCTCACCACGGCAGAACTTCCATCTCACGCACATGCATCTGGCAGCCTCATTGCTCGAAGTGTCGGGGATCACATGCATCTTATTAACGATCCGGGACACAATCATGGAGGACAGACGGGTGGGGGTATCTTTGGATCAGGAGGAATGGGCATGAGAGGTGATGGTGGGGGTAACGAATACAACACGCACTCTCACCAAATCAGTCGAGACGTTACACAAATCGATGTGCGACCAGCTGGCGCTCATGACCACCCCGTAGATGGTCAAACGGATGCACAAGGACTTGGTCAAAAGATTAGCATCCTAAATCCATATCAAACTATCGACTATATTATCTATGCTGGGTCGGACCGATCTATAGGTATAAGCGTGTATTCTCTCTCTTGTAGTGTTGCTACTCCAGGTGGCAGTGTGTATAAGTATTTTTTACTTTTTCTGCTTTCCTACAGCAGCTCTTTTTCGTAAAGTCAGCTTTGTTTGTAACATAAAATCAAGTTCAAGCTCAAGTTCGGAAACTCTCGGATGAAACAGAAGTCTACAGACACTGATTTTTAAAGTTTTTGCCTACATTCAGCTCTTTTGTTTGACACGTGAATGTTTGTCTACCCATTTCAACATTTCGAATAAACAAGAACTGCTTGAAGTTAAAAGACGAACTTTAGTTTAGTGTTCGATCGGCAGAACACGCTGCTAAATCCAAAATATTAGCTTTAAAAGCTCTAAAATTTTCTCTGACTGCTTCAGTCGGTGATCTGTTCTGTATTTACCGCACATTTCGCCGCTGATATTCGAGCGTTAGACAAACAGTGTTTATAATATATGTACAACTTGACCCGACTCAAATACAATCAATGGTGCGACAAACATTCTCCTTTATGTAAAAGAATATGATGAACGTAGGTACGTGCCAAAAGCTGTTTAATAATCGATCTATCTGTTACTTAGGCAGAGCTCACGCTATTCTTCTCATGATGAATCAATCGCATTACATTGTAATATTTTTTTATCTTATCTGTTTTAAGCGACACAATACTACTGAGCACGCGCGAGAGTCAAAAGTCTTGGAAGAAAGAGAACGAGAAAGCTGCACTATTTGTCTTTTCATTGCTTAGTGTTTGACGTTTATGTTGCTGATAAGGCATGTTGTGCAACAAATTCCTTTTTTTGTTGAGATGTATTGCTGATGCCCTTGAGTTTTTCGCTGACAGAAGACAATGCACTTTTATCTAACGTAAGCAAACATCTTGTGATGCGCTTTTCGCTGAAAACCACAAAGTCATTTCAAAGTACAGTATGTAATTTAGATAAAAAGGCACATGTCTTACGACATTCCATAGGAAGAGCAAGAACATAAACACAATTTACATGATTTTCGAGAAGCATTTGAAATACATTTAAATTGGTCGTATGTGCTATTGAGGGAGGAAGATCATTCCACTGCCTGGAGGTGAGAGGGGTAAGAAAGAAGAAGATGAAGCTTTTGTGGAAAAATGTGTAGTAATAACCTATCTGTCACGTCCAAAATGCGTAGATTTCCGATTATGAGAAGGTGTAATGAGATTAAGATGTGAAAGAGGGCTTATGTCATAGAAAATTTTATGGAAATGAACGAGTCTGAAATAGAGTCTTCGATTTTCGAGACAACAAAGTTTAATTCGAAATGAAGTGCGATCGGATCGATCGAGTGGTCTTTCACTATAACTCTGGCAGCCAAGCGCGTCATTCAAAATAGACAGATGTGATTTAAATGAACTACCGTAAAGAATACAAGCATATTCAAGAACCGGCCTGACACATACTTCGTAAAGATGAAGACGGAGATATATGATGTGGTGCCGAACACTCTAGAAATAGAACCTGATAGCCTTCTGCATTTAGCAGCCGTTTGATTTGTATGTTCTTTCCAAGTTAGATTGTGAACAAGATGCGCTCCAAGCAGTTTTACAGAAGCAACGTTCTCAAGCGAAATGCCATTTAGTTTCAGTTCACCTAACTTATTTGTACTGGAAAGAACAGTAGAGAACAATCCATTTTCATTTATTAGCATTAAGTTTCACTAGCATCCTCTCACACCACTCCGACATTTCGTTCACACATTCTTGAACTGCACTTAAATTTGCATTTTCACGATCCACAACACAGAAGGCATCGTCGGCGAAAAGAGAAGTCAGTTTTGAGGCTTCCAGAGAAGTCGGAAGATCATTAATGAAGATCAAAAAGAGAATTGGATCTAAAATACTACCCTGCGGCACTCATGAAGTAACGGTTAATCTTTTGGAGAGAACAGATCCTATGGAACCACTTGTAATCGATTGGACAAATAAGATGCAAACCAGTTGTACAGATCTCCATGAATTCCACCATGTGATAATTTTCCTAAAAGAAGTTGATCCGGAATTTTATCAAATGCCTTTTCAAAATCAAATGACGCTCCTGTTGATTTCTTTTATCGTTGAGACAATTATTTATAAAGTTAGTTAAATAAACTAGAGTATCTTTGTTAGAAACTGCATCAAGTGCTTATGAATTAACTTTTCAAAAACTCTACTTACATTCGATATTAAAGAGATTGGATGATAGTTTTAGCCATTATTTTTATCATCTTTTTTGTGAATGGCTTTTATTATCGAAAGTTTCCATATATCAGGGAAAACTCCTTTTTCAATCGAGATGCTAAAGATGTGATATAATTGTGGCGATATACTATCTGCACTTAGTTTCAAGCATTTAACTGGAATATTATCAATGCCAACGCTTTTTTTATTTTGTAATGATTTAATATATTCAAACACCTCTGCTACATTGAAATTTATTGTGGAGAGAAAATTAGAAGCGTTAGTGTGTAGATTAGGCATAGATCCTTGTGCAGTAGAGTAACAACTTCCAAAATGTTCTGATAAAAGCTCAGCTTTTGATACATCGTTAGTAGCGGGGTTACCGTTCAGATGTAATGTTGCTGGTAGACCATTATGATCAGAACGAAATTTCTTAATGTCTGTCCAAAAACGTTTACTTACTGTCCTTGAAATTTTTCATAATTGATGTAAACAGCTTGAATTTCTCTTTTCGTACACACTGAATAACTTTATTACGAAGTTTCTTGTACAACGAAAACGTCTTGAGAGAATCTGAACTATGAGCAACCATCTGTTTAAAGTTCTTAAAGACTAACGTTTTTTTCCTCATCAAGAAGTTAGTTGCTCCGGGTAAACGTGGTACCGGCTAATTTGATATAGGTACTGTTTTAATAGGGATGAATATTTCCATTGGTTTTCATCGTATTTGAGCAACCGAACTCAGCGCGTTAACATCGATAATATTTTTTTCAAAGTAGTCAGCGTCTCTTCTGCGCGTGCCCAAACGGTCAATCCTGGGACCCCTACTATTTATTATTTTCATCGATATTCCATTTGTACTTCCGCGTGTTTGTACGGTCTTTTTGCGGATGATATCTTCGTTGTTAATCCACTTCTACATTCGGATAGTAAGCAGTTTATTGAGTCAAGCTCAAAACGAAATAGACAAAATTTGTAGATGGTGCTGCGACAATAATATGGAATTAAACGCCGATAAATGTTCACATACGTATTTCTTTTTTACTACTTCTTGAACACAACTTCTACTGTCGCAAGTAGCAGCTAAGGCTCTCTCCGTTGACTTCCACTCTAAACTATTACGCTTAATCTTTTCGAGCGATATGAAGTAGTCAACTCATATCAGCGAAACCGCTCTTTCTTGTAGGCGAATGCTAGGTGCCACTAACAGGGTCTTCCAAGACGCACAATCATTTGTCCGTCACCTACTTTACAAAATCCGCGTGTTACCTAAGATGGACTATGGTAGTATATTGAAGGTCAATTTAACATTTTCTTTTAACAAATGACTCAATCATACATGACCATAAAATTTATCGGAATGGCTATTGCCACTCTCTGAGGGTGTCAAAAGGAGTCATCATATTTTAATTTATGAGTGTAAGTTCCGATACGCTTTATGAATTTCTTCGCATTGAAGTTCTAAGGATGTTCTCCCTAAGGCACAACTGGTTATTGATGTTGCGGAGGTCGGCGTGAAACAGAGTTGTATTGTTATTGGCTTCCATTGTTTATAAACATCAGCAGAACTAATAAAGCACTAATAATAAATAAAGTAGGACAATTAAGTTTTGAAAGAAAATGAAGAATTTTGTCGTACAAAGTTCTGTTTTATTCTGACTCCATTTTCAGCCAGAGTTCATAGAAGGGTAACAGTGAACTAAATCTGTAACGCGCGTGGAGTGCGTCCGCACAGAGGTAAGGCTTTAGCTATCTGTCATCTATAAATGTTTCATAAATTCATTCTCTAAAGTTCTAGTTGCAGGATACCACGCTATTCTTCTGAGATGTCAGAATATCAGTACGCAGTATATTCTCAAAAAACGACTATTTTTTTTAACTAAGTGGATTTGGTGGGCTTGGTATATTCTCATTGACAATACACGAGAATACGCAAATATAGTGTCGCGATCGAAGGGGGGGGGGGGGGGGGGGGGCGCCGGCGGGGGGCCATAGAGGGGCCCCCCCGCGCCAAATTTCGGGG